ACGAAGAAGAAGAAGAAGAAGAGAGAGAGAGAGAGAGAGAGAGGGAGAGGCGCTCGAGATCAGCTCGATATTTACCTAGGCTGGCGAACACGCTCGCTGTTAATTCGCTGAATAAACTTTTTCCGTACGCGAGGAAAGGCCACTTTGCCGGGAGGGAATTCGAGTCTTGGAAGAAGAACACTCGATCAAAGCTGTGCTTCGAGAATGCCGTTTCTGGTTGCTCCACCATCCCACCGATCGTTCCAAATGATTCTTCGCTTTGGAGGGAAGCGCAGGGATGAATTGCTCGCCGCTTTAGAGGCCGACTCTACTTGATTTCTTGGCATAGACGGTTTCAATAACGAATCGAACTATAAAGCTAATCAAAATAGATCATGTTGGATGATATTAATTGGAAAGAACTTGCACCGCGTGGGGGAGGATAAATAAGGAAGCACAGAGTGGAGAAAGGATACGATGGAAAAAAATCTTCAAATATTGGTAACTTTTCGAAAAAGAATATAATTCATAAATTTAGATCTAAGACGAAGCATCATCGTTTTCGACGCGATGCACAGTGGACAGAAGAAGGATTGACAGTTGTGCAGGGATTTGATGGAAAAGAATTTTCTATATTATTAATTGCGAGGTGATAATTGAGATCAATAAACGAAGAGATCGTTGGTCTACAAAAACGATCGATAATTAAATAAAAATGGAAATAAGAAGAGATTGAGAAAATCATTGAAATTCTGCTCGCCAAATCAGATTCTGAAAAAAAGAATATAATTCAGGATTATTCGTAGGTTTAGAAGCATCATCGTCTTCGATGCACAATGGACAGAAGGCTTCACAGGGAAGACGAGACTCGATGAAAAAGGATTTTCCATATTATTCCAGTAACTGTGACGTTCCGCCGTGATAATTGGGACCAATAAACGAGAAGATCGTTGGCCTGCGAAAGCGATCGATCGATAATTAAAAATTGTCTTAACAAAGGGATATATCCGCTCGATCGGATTTTGAACGGTGGAGAGACATCGATCAATCGTTGCCGATTAATCATCGACGTTAATGGATGACTGGTGAGCGCGGCGCGCCGCCACCGGGGAACGCTCGACCCGATGCAATCGTTAACGTGCCCCGCAACAAAGAAACGCGTCGATAAGCTCGAAGGCAGTGGCGCGTTAACAGGGGTTAAGTGCTATTAAAAGCTGGTCGCTGGTTAAAAACCGGTATAAGAGATAGAGCGGGAAGAAGCGCGACGACGCCTCGCGTTACAACACCGCTCCTCCCTCCTCGAGCCGAAGCTTGAAAACAATTGTTCCTCGATCAAGGATGTTGCCGCATCTTCGAGATATAATAGCGGCGGTGTTAGAACTCGTTCCAACGATTAATTATCCCGGGGCAAATTACGCTTTTGTGTTCCTTGCTCACGTATCTCTGACGATAATCGAATTCTGATATAAAAAAAAAAAAAGGATAGATCAGGCATGGTTAACCTGCATGATAACTGTGTTTCCTCCTTTCTAGATCTAGTTATAGAAAAATTCTCCGTTATAATTCACAATGATCCACAACGACAGAAGTTACGATCCTCTTCATCCAAAATTAATCGTGGATTAAAAATTACGTCTACATTAGTTAATCACTTTCTCCTAACAAGGAATTTCCAAGCAATAACGTTGATTTTTCCGGTTCGCTCACTGCGTAAGCGAGACAATTAAAAAAAAATCCGATCGACCCTTTGCGTATTCTTCTCGCGCGCGCCCCACCGTCTGCTCTCGCGAAAAAAAGCGATTTCCGAAGGCATCCGTGCGCACGAGATTCCGACTCGACTCCTCGAGTTGGAAAAACGCGTTCCAGGATCGCGTCGCCGCATCCCGATCTTTCTTTTCCTCGACCTTTTCGTCATAATTCCCCTTTCGAAAAGGGGAGGAAGGAAAAAAAAAAAGAATAAGCTGGAAGAAACGTCTAGGATCCATCCGTGGCGCGACCATCTTGGTGGAAAGAGGGCACGGCATTGACATTGACTTTCCTTTCGGGGGTGGAACGGGGACGAGATAGGTGGAGAAAAAAAAAAATAAAAGAGGCAAAGATGCTGGTGGAGAAGACGGAATGGCGGAGTGAAAACGGGGGCGTAATGCGAGGCGACCAATTGCGCGGAAGAAAATCATGGCCGGCCGCGTGTACCATCCTCGGGGTAACGTAATTTCATCGGGAGAACTGGTCTGCGACACGGCTTTGATAATAAAGGGACAACGAACGCCGGGATTACGGCGTGTTCATTGTCTTCTTGCCCGGGATCGGGTAACAGATTCTCGGTTAGATGTTGATAAACCCTTGGTGCAGGGGTTGAAGGTTGCCTGGGATATAAGAAAGGCAAGAATAATGGAGTAGGGTTAATGTAATTAATCGTGGAAGATAGACGACTGTGTATATATACATTTTTTTGTTGCTTATGCCATCGTACTTTGAAATTATCCCCGCGTGGAAGTAATTCTAGACTGAAAATTTGAGAGCATGTTCACTTAAACGAATAAAATACTGCGGATCTATACTCGCGTGGAATTGAAAAATGGCGAGCGATGCTACGCCGCGTTCGTTGAGTTAGAGCTGAGTAGCAAACAGCGAAACTATCATATCCAGTAGTATTTAATTCTCTGAGACTATTACAACCCGTCTAAATACTCAGCTTACGAACAGATCCTTTGATGTACCGCTTCCAGAGCTTTTCGCTGTTGAAATATTCAGACTATCGATTTGTTAACTGATAATATACTTGTTTGCCAACCGATCGTAAATTATTATCGGGAACAGCAGTGTGCACGCGACATTAGATAAAGAAATCTATCGATCTTCGTTATAACACTTTGAATTTATCTTTATGTAAGAATAAACTAAAAATTTTCCATCCAATATAAATATCTATCTATTTAGATAAAAAAATAAAGATCAGGAAGTGATACTCTGTAATTTTTTCAGATCAATCCTTGGCCAAGCTTCCTTTCCATTCGAGTACAATGTACAACTCCTTGGTGAAAATTGTACGCAGTTTTATATCCATAAGGCAAGTGTTCGACAAATACAAGGTAAAACGTTTTAATTCGCATGTTCGACACGTTTAAAATAATTTATTCGTCGCGTGAAACGACGATACCAGTGTCGAAGATAAAGTTCTTGGATTTTTGCATTGATCCATCCCATGCGTATGAAACACGAGAAAATGGAGATACGAATTGCAACGAATCGATCGTGGAGCGAGTCGCGTTATCGGTCCTTTTGATTACCCGATCGTCGAGTTTTCGAATATATCGTTTGGTTTCGGATAGGCTCATCTATCATTCCGGGCAACGGTACAACGGGCGCCTACGTAAAGGAGATACCCGGCTATGTCTCGAGTATGTATCGATAATTCATCGCGTGCCACGAGATACTCGTTCAAGATGAATTTCGTGCCTCGAAACCGATAATCCATCATTCGAACGGAATTCGATAAACCGCGTATATCGTCCAACCAGGTGATAAAGTTTCTCTTACACCCCAAGTAATCTGTCTACGAATGATCGTGCTCGATTTGCTTGATATTTCGCCTAGGAAATAGCCAGCCACGACAATAGTTAATAATTTTCGAAACAGACTTAAGGAAGATTTATCGCGATTAAAATGCTCCACGCATTTGATGGATATTGATTTTCGATAAACAGTACGAGAAACAATCGTGAAACGGCGAAAAATGCAAATATGGATATGGAGAAATACGTAGAAAACTCTTTCTCATCTTTCTTTCCTATTGAATGTATCCTACAATTTAATTAGATTTCATTAATGTCGTAAAATCGATATTTTCTTAGCACGATGCAGATAAATATATGGGAAAAGACAGAAATTCTGTATTCTCGAGATATTATCGCGGTGTATTCGAAAGAGAGTAGCAATTTAATCCATTAGGATCGGCGGTAGTTAAGTTAGATTCGAAGAAACGGAACGCGTAAGTAATCGTTCCTCGATTAAATCGTTCCAAGTCTGGAATGGGTTTATATTCAGTGTCGTTGCGTTTAATTGCACGCGCAGATTGCAACGAAAACTAGACAGTTTTGTAAATAATTGGAGAGCAAGCGGTGCAGTTCGATGGGGAGAGGCAGAGTCTGGTTGCTTAAATAATTATATTTCCCCGGATCTCGTTAGTACTTATGTTTCGCGACTATTCTCCCGCATTACCATTTTCGAAATTACCGAAGAGCCGGGATTGTTGCCTCGAAATCTTGTTTACTTTCACGCAACAAGCTTTAAAGCGAATGATCCACTCGTTCTAACTCTTTGCTTTTTCAGATCCTACCCGTTGAACGGTGTATATTCGAAGGAAAGAAAGAGGATCGAGACTTTCGAAGTAAGTATAAATACCGATTTAAATCTTTGTCCCACGGTTTGAATAAAGAACAAGAGGAACAAAGGGTTTGATCGATGAAAGGCGCGAATGAAGCGCTTTGTCGAGAATACGTTCGAGAGTGAAACTTTTTCGAGAATATTTTCTCGCGAAATGGACATTGTGTTGGGAGTGAAGGAAATTAGTCACCCTCGACTGTAGTGTATTCATTTGTAAAAAAAAAGTTTTCGAAAGTTTTATACATCCTTAAAGTAAAGCTAATATATTTGGAGATAAATTTTTCATGAGTTGTTCTCGAAAAGCCATTTGTTACCAGCGAGAATACTCTCGTCGAGAATGAAAGTCACTGTTCGACACCCATTTTTAACGGAATGTCGATTTGTGAAAAATTTTTCTCGAGAGAGGTTCGTTCACTTTCGAATGTATTCGCACCTTAACGTCGGTAGGGTGGAAACGAAATCTCGTCCGAATCTTTTTTTTTCGTTGTAGTTCACAAATTATTGAGGCATTTTTACACAGGTAAGGACATCAATTCCCATCACCTGCATTGCGCATCCAGTTTCGCCGTGTGCACTTCTATACGGATGTATGGGACGTCCCACGTGCTTGGACAGGATACAAACACGGATCCAAGAGCAATGACATGCACTCATGGTACCGCATGAAATATTCCATTGGCCCAGCTACGTGATATTCGCAGACGCACGGAATATTCCTTTGTATCTTTGTCTACAGGTGACAGCGGCTAAAGTGCACTTTTCTCCAAGCGACGAATGAAAAATGAGAGGACCAGTGGATGGATAACGGGGAAGAAACGGTCAGACACGCGATTCGTGGATACATACAAGTTTTTCCTGGGCAAAAGAAAAGAATTAATGAGACTGGGTGGAATGGTTGATTCTTATAAAAATAAAAAAAAGGAAGAGAAAGAAAGAAGAAGGAGAGTTAGAGAGAGAGAGAGAGAGAGAGAGAGAGAGAGAGAGAGAGAGAGAGAGAGAGAGAAGAAGAAGAAGAAGA